CTAAAATGAGAAAAACTGCCCAGAAAAATCATAAGCTAAGTAAGTGCTTTAAGCCACTAAGTTTGGAGTGGTTTGTTTCACGGCAAAAGCTAAGTGATACACAACTCCATTTTACAGATGAAGAAATTGAGGCGCAGAGATTAAGTAACCTGCTGAGGTCTCGCAGCTATTAAGTGGTGAGTTGGAATTAAAACACAGGCAGTACTAAAAAAAAAAAAAAAAAAAAAGAAAAACCACACTGGCAGTCTGGCTCCAGAGGCTAAGCTTTACTAGTTGTCCACAGCTGAGTCATTCTACGAATTTCAAATGTTTCCCCAATCACCTACTTCCCTAACGGAGGTTAAATATATAGAACATGAACTCACATGGCCCCATAAACACAAAACAGACAACTTCCGGCACTGAATAACCCTCATTATTTTGCATTTTTGCTGCCCTTCAGGTTAGCAAAGCACTCTGCTCTCTTCTGACACATTCCAACCATTTAAAAATAAAAGAGTTGCCCAAATGTCCATTTCCAGATGAATGAACAAAATATGATCTATACATACAGTGGAATATTATTCAGCCTTAAAAGGGAATGAAATTCTAATATACGCTATAAGATGGATAAACCTTGAAGAGATGATGCTAGGTGAAATAAACCAGTCACAACAAGACAAGTATTGCATAATTCTACTTATATGGGGTACACAGAGTAGTGAAATTCATGGAGATAGAAAGTAGAATGGTGGTTGCCAAGGGCTGAGGGAAAGGAAAAAATGAGAAGTTATTTAATGAGTACAAAGTTTCAGTTTACAAAAATAAAGTTCTGGAGATGGGTGGTGGTGACAGTTGCACAACTCTATGAATGTACTTAATGCTACTGAATCATACACTTTAAAATGGTAAATCTTACATACGGTTTACCATGATTTTTAAAAAGAAAACAATTATGAGGGTTGGGGCTGGTGGTGATAAAATGACAGACCCAGGGCCCGTGTTAGACCAGTTAAGAACCCAGGAAGCAAAGTAGGCAAGACACACTCTGCCATTCAGGTTTTCCTGAGTCACATGGGCTGCACCCCCTTATCTGAATGTTCCTGCCACACACTGAAGACCAGATGGGCTGGCAGATCTGTCAAAGCTGCCTTAAAAACAAGCTCTAACTCAAGGACAAAAACTCTCAAATAAATCAAAGCCTCTTTACCCACCTCAGCCCAAGATGAAAAGAAAAAAAAGCTGTCTTCTACCTCTTCTTGGAAGAATTTGGACTACATTTCCAAAATCACAGGATTGAATCTGACTCATCGGTAGGAAAATGAGCTGACATCAGGAACAATACAGGTAATGCACATTTTTGATCGGCAGACAGAATTTCTACTGGTCTGACAATTACAAATCTTTGTAAACTCTATGGATAGCCAAGCTTTGGAGAAGTCTTTCCCTTTTAAGTCTCCATTATTCCACTGAGACTCTGGATGGATGGACATGGGCATTCTAGACATATTGTAAAAACACCAGTATGATCTCTTATTTTTAAAAAAGAGATAAACATTAAATGTTAACAGAAAGTATGGGAACTTATTTCCTTTTTGCCTATTTTCTAAATTTTCTATTAACAAAATGTTTTTTAACGAGCTGAAACCTAAGCTCATGCAGGTATTCCATCGTTAAACATGTTATCTCTTTTAAGTCCTAAGGACGACCTCGTGAGGCTGATCCTGTGACCATCACAGCTTCATAGACGAGGATGCTGAGGTTCTGGGAATGCAGTGCCTCATGACACGCACTGGAAGGAGATGCCTTGAAGGCCATCTCTCAGAGACCCTGCCTACTCTACACAGTCAGAGGGGGTTGTAAATATAGAAAGGAAGGGGGTAGAGTAAAACCAAAGGAAAAAAAACAGGAAACCCCACTTGGCAGCAGCTGGAGGTGGGCCCCACCCCTTCACCAACAGGAAGGTCAGAGGATGCTGGTGCACAGACAGACTCAGCCACCTGGCCCAAGCCCAGACGGCTCCCATCCGCAGAGATGAAATGTGACATCCGTGCCCAGCCTCAGCCTTTGAGCATCTTTCCAGGTCCTCAGCTACAGACCAACCAAGTCCCTTGGGGTTGAGGGGTAGGGGTCACTCTGCATCTTCTCTACCCTTCATCTTTCTGCCCCACCTGCAAAAAGGCAGGAGTTTAAGGGGAGAGTTTACGGGCACAAAGCCAGGCAGGATTCCCTCAACATTCACCTTGGCCTCTGCCAGCTGACAGTGAGTCAGTCACCAGCCCCCAGGGTCCAGGTATTATCTGATTAGACCTGATGACTCAGTGGCTTGTCCACTGGCCAAGAGAAGGGTTGAGAGCAAGGAGCGATGCCACAATTCACGACTGCCTAGCAGTGGGGCCCACTCAACCCAGCTCTCTCCTACCTCTGTTCCCATCAAAGACTGGGGTATGGAAAAGAAAAGAATGATATTGAATCTACTCTGGATGTGTCACAACCAACTGAGGACCCAGCCACCAAATTAGATTTGAGTGAAGCCAACCCAGATGAAGCCGAATTTGACAATCATATTCCTACCCCTCTGCTTACCTAGGTGGGGGCAGGAAAGAGGTGGCGAGTAAAGGGGCAATGGAGAGGAAAAGCTCGAAATACCAAGGAGGGGCGGTGGGGGGAAATGGGTGGGGGTGGTCTGTGGGTGGCCAGACCACACCGTTCACTCATTGGTTCATTTTTCGTTTGCTCGGTGTTTGAACGCCTTCTGTATGCTGGCATTGCGAATATGGCAATGAAGCAAACAGATCAAATTCCCTGTCCCTGTGGCGCTCATTACTGTGAACAAATACATGATAACAAGTCAGAGGTGAGGAGCGCTATGGAGAAAAAGCCAATCAAGGAGTGAGGGCTGGGGGTGCTGGAGACGGCTGATTGACAGTTATCACTTAAACGTGAGCCCAGGAAGCCGTCGTTGACAAAGCGACTGTTCAGCAGAAACCTGAAGGAGATGAGGGAGTGGACCATGCAAATTCCAGGGTAGAGATGACAACAAACAGAGGCAACGGCAGGTTCAAAGACTTAGAGGTGGGAGCACATCTGACATCAGCACAGGCAAAGGAGGACGCCACCCATCGTCAGGGGCTGGCGACCTGATGGGCCAGCGTTCAGAGGACCCTGAACGTGTAGGTCCATTTAGCCAGCCCTGCCCCAAAACCCAAGCTCAGCGGAGCGGCGGGGAAAACCCGGGTAGGGAAGCCACTGCCAGTGCCCGAGGAGCTGCTTTAACAGACCTCTTAAACCGTGTCAAGGCACAAGCACACAGATGTTTTTAATAGACATTTGTGAGCTCGAAAGAATCAGAGGACAATAAGTTCAAGTGTTGAAGACTTTTAGGAATGAAGATTTCATGATCTCCTAGGTATTGATTCAATGTTCAACTTATAAGAAACCTCTCCCCAAACCTAACCTGAATCCTTCCTACTGTAACTTTAGATCAAGAACAGTACTGCCCTGGATTACAGTGAGTGGGACACAGCCCACCTTGGAGGGCGCCTGAAAGACTGATGGGACACAGACACTTTGGAGGGAGGATGCCCAGGGTTCTGGAGCTTCTGGGGACTGGCAAGTACCTTTTGGAGAAGGGTTCTTCTCCCCGGAAAGCTAGAAGCCTGGGTGGGACCCTGAGGGAGGTGGAAAGGTGAGGGGGTAGGGTGCTGCTCAGGGTTTGTTGGCACTCTGATGCTGTATAGCCAGGTCACTACGCCACGGGAGGAGGAAGGGTTTTAGACAGCCATTCTGTCTAGAATAAAGGCAATATATCTGGCAGGTTCCAACCAAAATGCTCAGCTCAGAGTTCAGAGTACAAAACCCAAAATATAGCTAGGATCGCAACAGAACCACCAAAGCATCAAGGGGATCCTTTGAGAAGAAATTTAATAGGGACAGGGCAAAGAGAAGGAATGCTCAAGTCCTGGCCCCTCACGCTAGAAGGGCCTGATCCTAACATGTTCCTAGATTTCTGGGGCTTCGGTTCCCAAGGGTTTATACTCCCCACCCTCCACATTCTCTCCCCTATAGTGCCCAACATGCAGTGTACACAGTTGGTGCTCAAATACCTGTTGCTCACTACACATTTTCTTACAAGTGGAGACTTTCAGATGCGGCATCTTCCATCACATAAACACGCAACAGAGACATGAACTACAATCTGGGCCAACTGCTTAGGCCTGCTTTAGGTGGCGATTCTCACTGAAGAGACACCGAGCAGGAAGTCCAAGTGGGCTGAGGTGTGTGAACAGCCCCCAGGCCTGGCATGTAGCAGGCACCGACCGGTAAGTGTCAGGGTTCTCTTCCTTCCCCATTCACAGAGCCTGGCTAGCAGAGTCTGAGAGGTGACACAGGCACACCTTGCATTACAGCAGTGGCCATCCAAGGAAGACATACTCTGAAACCAGAACCAATTTCCACGTGGCCCCAGCTATCACCTGACCACAGCTCCCTTCTGCCTCCCCTGTTCTGGTCTTGGTCCCTCAATTGCCTATTTGGACTCTCAGAACAAAGAACTGATGTTTCAAGAGAAGCAAATAGCTAATTATTCCCAAACCAGGAAGGAGAACGCGAGGGAGGAAGTATTCCTCCCACTGACTGACAGGCAATCTTCAGGAAAGGGCAGAGAATGAGCCTGGCCTCTGGACACACCCTCCCCTCATCTGCAGGAGCTGACCCAGCTGCCTGGGAAGTGGACCTGGGCGCCAATTCCAGCAGAAAAGCGGTGCCCACTCACGGGGCCATCCAAATGCCAGCAACTACACTCTATTAATAGTATCAAGAGCTAGAACAAAGGCAGGCTGTGGGGGGAGGAAAAATAAGAGGCTGACTTCAAACGCAGCTGTTTACAAAGCCTTGGCCATCCCCCATCACACAGGACTCACGCCTCTAACCTTCGGGGGGAGACACAGGAGTGAGAAGGTGCAGCTGAGCACGGGTGGGGTGGTGGGCAGAGGCAGGAGAGGCCTGCGGGACCATCTTACCTGCCGCGCCACCCTCCGCGCCTCCCAGTAGGGCTTCGAGTCTTCCACGGCTTTGCCGATTTTCTTCACCAGTTCGTCCAGTTTCACCGTTGCTTCAACCAGAACAGAGCGGAACTTCTGACGAGCATCCTGCCAGGATACCGAAAAAACACAATTCAGACTTAAGAAGGAATCTGCAAAATGCTGCCCGACCCTACCAGAAACACCAAGGATGGATTTCACACAACCTACGAGCCCCTAAATGAATACCTTCACAAAACAGGGTCCACAGCAGCACCACCCAAAAGAAGTCTCTGTGATGCTGGAAATGTTCTGGCATCTGTACTGTCTGGTACGGTAGTCACTAGCCACGTGTGGCTATTGAGCACTTGAAATGGGCTAGTGAGACTAAGAAAATGAGTTTTATTTCATTTTAATTAAATATATTTAAATTTAAAAAATAAATGTGGCTAGTGACTCTCATATTGGATAGCACAGGCCAGATTAAAAAGCTCTGCCCAAGTCCTCAAGGGAAGATGTCCAGTTGGGCTACCCCGCAGCTTTAGTCCATAATGATGGCACCGTTTCCAAGCCCCCAATGAAGTCCTCAATCATATGACCACATGACCAACATTAAACACCGAGTACAAATTTCCCACACACCAGACCCTTCCTGGGCTTGGTCCCTGCCTTCAGGGCACTTCTGGTGGGCGAGTCAGGCATTTATAGCCTGTTCCAGAGAAGTCTGTGCCAGGGCAGTGCTGGTACAGGTGCCATAGAACCCAGCAGTGGAGAATCCAGCAATAGGCCAGATAAGATGGGGGTCCACTGGGAGACTCATGGAAAACTTCTGGAGGAACATCTACACAGACGTCTGCGGGCGCTTGGGGGAGGGAGAGAAAATACCGAATGAGTCCCAAACAGGCAGCAGAGCCATCAGCCAGAGGGGAGAGGGAGTGGCATGGTGTTTTCAAGAAAGGGAAGGAAGCTGAAAGTCTGGAATGTGGAGAATGGCAAGAGATAAGGGTGGCCACCCATCCTGGAGACAGCCACTATCAATTTGGGCTCGACAGATAAAGAGTTAGGAGGGAGGAAGAACAGGCAGGTGGGCCGTGCCAGGCTCCAGCACATTGCGGAAGCCAAGAAACCAGACCCATGGACATCACAAGGAGGGAGAAAAATTTTAAAAAAGAAGTTTAATCCTGTGTCTAGGATGTATTGGAGGGTCAGGTCAGCATCTCACAGACCCCACATCCCCTCTAACTCTTTTTCCCTTTGGGGTTTACCTGACACAGCCACGCCTTGCACCACGATGCACACATGCACGTGTTTCAGAAAGGGGAAATGGATACCCAGAGGAGAATGAACAGCACATGATCACCAGCCATGGGGCTTTCCCAAGACCACAATGCTGGTGAAACACATGTGTTCCACTGGCTGCAAAGGGCCTGCCTCCCAAGTAACTATCTAAAAACTAATTATAACCATCGAATTGTAGGGGCCTGTTGGGCCAATGGGATGGCTCATGGGAGTGAAGGAGGCCCTGATCATTTCTAATTTCATTCCCCTCTGTTATACCAGACACTTCTGACATTGGTCTTGGTCCCTTACCCCAATCCTACATCACCATCATCACCATTATCATGTCATCATAACATCATAACCTCATCATCGTCATCATATCATCATGATCATCGTCATCACCATCATCATCATCACCATCATCATCATCTTCTTAATTTTCTCTGCCTTCTCTCCCATGTAGCCAGGCCTGCAGTCACCCACTACACCTTCTGAAGACAGGGAACAAGGCTTGTCCTCCAGAGAACGTGCTGCAGCTGCATTAGGGCCGCCAGGGACCAGCAAAGCCCCCGAGCTTCTGTTGGGCTTGATGTCCCATATGGGGCAGATAGCATGTTGTCTAAAGTCTGGGATTTTTATCAGAGATGGATCCAATCCTGACTAAACCTCTTTCTGTGAGGCCCTAAACAGGTAACGTCTTTATGAACCATTTTTATTCCCTACAAAACAGTTACTTTCCATGTCATAGGGAAGGCTGTTAGAAGGAATAAGGGAGATTGCAAATATAAAACATCTAATGATCCTGGGCACAAGTAGGTGCCCCATATGTATGCAATTTTTCCCCAGCATGAAGAAAGACCTGTGATCATATTTAAAAACACAGAGCGGGGTCTCTCCAGGGCAAGGGTAGCTGGCATGAAGACATAGCAACCTGTTACACTGTGTAAGCACCAGAGGCCTCCCACCACGTCCAGACCACAAGTTAGAAAACTGAGGGGCAGATCAGTCGGCTTGTAACCCAGGGAAGGTCACATCATCAACCAGTAGCCTGTGAACCAACAGGCTTAGTGCCTTTGGCTTATATGTTATGTATCAAATGTCAGGAAAAAATCCATATTTTTTTGATGGGCATTCTCAAATTTCTCATTACGAAAACAAATCAGATGATCTGGCAACCACTGGCTAGAAGTAGAGTGAAGATGCCCCCTGAGATAGAAACTGACCTTTCCGGTCACCCACCACCCTGTGCCCGGATCACACCAGGCCTGCTCCACTCATTTAGGTTCCCTGCCAGCCTCTAGGGACTTCTGATTTGCTAAGAGCTGTTCTGGGTACTAATGAATATAACCCGCCTACTCTGCCTTTCTCAGACAGAGGGATGCAGAGGACAGGCAGACAGTTTACTAAGTGTCACACACTATCGTAAATGCTTAATTCCATCAATTTCTGCTAACAACCTTATCAGGTAGGTGCTATTGTTGTTATTCACATTTTACAAAAAGGGAAACTGAGGCACATAGAGAATAAGTAACTTGCCCAAAATCACAGAACCGGGAAACGGCAGAGCCAAGATTTAAACTCAAGCAGTAAATAAGTACAATGGAGTGTGATGAGTACTGAGACCTCGGTATCCACACTATACGAAAGACACACAGCTGGGAAGGTCACTCAAAGAAAGAGTCATCTAAGTCAGACCTTGAAGAAAGGGGGATTTCACCAGTCAGAGAAGGAAGGATATTAGAGACTGAGGGACTAGCATGGGCAAAGAATGGCAGGTAGGAGGTTTGGAGGGGGTTGGAGCCAGGAAAGGCATGTGTGCCACGTTAAGGCATTTGAACTTTATCCCATGCACAATGGGGAGCATAGTGGATTTTTTCAAGCAAGTCTCAATGTAATTTCATGTACCCTTTGTCAGAAATGACAGAAGAATACTTTCTACCACAAAAAAGTAAAAGCAAGCATAATTTACTGGATGGCTGCATTGTCACCTACACAGCTGTGATCATGTAAACACTGAATACTGACTACAATATAATTATGTTGGGAGGAAAGAGAATGGGAAAAATAGGTAGAGACAGAGGAAGGAAAAACACTAAAACCATTTCTTCCATAGTGGGATGTTGACAAATGACTAAAACTGAAAAATCAAGAAGGAGCCACATTTAGCCTACTATTTAGAGTCATAAAAGTAAAGTAAATGCCTAAATAACCAGCTAAAATATGTTAAACTGATCAATTAAACTGCCTCTAAGGGAGAAAAAAATGGGGGCGGGGTAGGAGGATGAAATAGCAGTGGTAGGTTGTGTTTGCCTTTTTTTTTTTTTAATTATGGCAAAATACCACAGTGATTTTTAAGCAGAGGCATGACCTGATCAGATCTGGGTTTCACCAAAGAGTGAACTGGGTGGTTCCAGTGAGCAGGTGCAGGGACCACCAGCCTGGTTAAGTGTGTTACCATCAAAGGGTATTGAACCCAAGAGACTTGATTTGAGATCAGCGTTTCCCTCCGTAAGTGAGGCTGTGTTGCCAGGATGATGAAGCATGACTGGCTGACGTCCAACCCCAACGAGCCTATTCATCTAAGGCACATTAAAAGCTAAACACAAAGCTAGCCTTCTTCCCGATAAGAATAAGTGAACCCAGTTCTCTTACCATTCAACAAGAGGATCATAGCTGCTTGAATGACAATCCTCCACAAATATTGGGGTGTGGGAGCCCGCAAACCAAATTCTTTCCTGCCTGTCCAACTATAACAGCCCTGATTTTCTTGGGCCTCACCCTGGTCCCAAAAGTGGTCACGCAACCCTGGCCTGGCCAATCAGATATGGATACTCCTAGCCTCGGTGACTGTTGAGGGAGGACATCAGGACCAATGACCCATCAGGACCAATAAGACTTCAATCTGGGACTTCCCTGAAACTGTTAGAAAGAGGAACTTTTTCCCACAGAGATGGCTGAGTGGATAGAATAAAAGCCTGGAGCAGATGGCAGCCACCTAGGAATCATGAAGGAAGAGCCTGACAGAGAAAGGAAGCGAAGGAAGGATAGGGGAAGGGAGGAAAGAAGACATTTTGAACTTCTAGACCTAACAATGCTTTATAGTTTAACCCCATATTCTACCTTCTTCTGAGCCAAACTAGCACACACACTCCCAACTGTCACCATGGCTTTATGTTATGTTAGTTAGAATTGGATTTTTGTCACTTGCAATTGAATTAAGCCTTTAAAAAAGACTGAAGTATATGCCTCAAGGTAGTCATATTAATAGAGACAGGGAGGGTCAAGCTACAGTCCATACCATGGCAAAGCACTGTAATTAAATACGGTTAACTGCTGGAGGGCTTCTGACCCTGACAATAAAGCCAAATTTATAAGGAACAGGGTCTAGGGAACTTAATTCAATCTAACCTGCATACAGCTTCCCTTTAAATCCCCCTTAAAGCCAGCTTGCTTCAACTGATTTTGGGCTTTTTGCCTATTTCCTAGTTTGAGAAAAGACTCCACCATGGTCCTCTGTCTCCTACAATTATAGGCAAACCTGTTTCCCAAGATCAGAACGGCAGATGCTTCCAGGAAAGTCCGGGGAGGAGAGAAAGCTGTTTTCTCCATGACAAATGATCCATGAAAGGAAGCAGTCACAAGTACAAACTCACCTTGGAAGAACGAGCAGACCTTTCACCAGTCAAGAAAAATGAGGCATTTACCCTTCAGGGCTGTTTGCCAGCTAATTTTTTTAGATCAGCTCTTGAAAGAGTTCTAAAAAGGGTTCCTTCTGCTTAGATGAGGCCTCAGACCTTCCAATCTGAAAACTGTGTCACATCCATTAAGTGACTCAGACTGAGGGCAAT